GAGACAGGAGACAGGGACCACCAGGCATCGCAGCAGCCACTTCTGCACCTCAAGCCGATGCTCCATTCACAAGGATGCAGAATGTCTGCGGAACCTAATTGGGGCGCAAGGGAGCTGGGAAGGGGCTCCCCAGGAGCCCAGCTACAGCAACATGCGGCTGAAACCAGGCGCATCCCAGCACGGGTGACGAACAACTCAACTATGCGGAGGTATTAACCAAGCAGGTAATGAGCGCATCCACGTCCCGGGAACGGACTCGGTAATTGGATCTTATAAATGCAGCCCGCACACACCACAGGTGCTCGGCCGAGTTAGGCTCAATAAAGGAATATTCTATTTTAAACTTCTCATCAAGATGTTTAAGGAGCTGAAAGGTGCTTCAAGCTTCACTAGCAAGCTCTCCTTCGTTGTGCCCGGGGCTTCTCTTAAGTTTGGAAATCACAGGGCGAAATAAAGGCACTAGATGTGATTGAACTTAGTTTGTCAGTTTTGCTTACTTTTCAGGGCTTGGAAACAGCACTGGTCTCATCCCAGAGGTTCCTGTCGCAGGAAACCAGCCCTGAGCCCCTGGTGGGATCGCCTTACTTTTCATATGACTTCATCATTGTTACTTAATAAAATTTACATTTAGTACCAGTGCCAGACAGTTGCTTGTAATGACACGGGCTGTTTTAAATAAGTCCTTCCACTGGGACTTAATTATCCCTTTCAGTCACTCCATCCAGAGGGCTGCCTGCACCCCCCCCTACCCCTGCCCACATGCAGCCCCGACACGGGGACGAAGGTCTGGGTCTGAGCATCGTGGCCTTTCCTGAGCTTAGGAAGGAAGCTGCTTTCAAATCTATGCACAGGTAATGAAATCTGGTTTTCAGCCAAATTCTACCGCTTGCTAGGTGGCTTTGAAAAAGTCACCAACCTAGTGTGGAGCCGCTAAAATAGTGGACGGGAACAGACTAAGGCTGTCGCAGCCGCTGAGGAGCACGGTGCAGTGTCTGCAATACAAGGAGAGGTGGGCGGCTCCGCGCTCCCACCTGGGGCTGCCAGGATGTGAGTCGGGCTTGCTGGACCCCAGTCAGGCACAGCACGGGGGAAGAGAGACCCTTTCACCCCGGGGAGGAAGAAGGGGCCCCCAGGACCCCCGAGGGCAGGCGAGCCCAGACCCTGCCTCCTTCCTCGCCGGTGACTCGGCAGCTGTCTTAGCTCAGGCTGCGGTAACAAAGCACCAGAGGCTGCGTGACTTGTAAACAACAAGCATTTATTTCTCACAGTGCTGGGGCTGGAAGTCCAAGATCAAGGCACCAGCAGATTCGGTGTCTGGTGAGGGCCACCCCCTGGTTCACAGATGGCCGTCTTCTCGAGGGAGCTCGCTGGGGTCTCTTTATCATGCACTAATCCCATTCATAAGGCTCCACCCTCATGACCTAATCCTCTCCCAAAGGCCCACCTCCTAATACCACCACCTTGGGGATTAGGATTTNATGACCTAATCCTCTCCCAAAGGCCCACCTCCTAATACCACCACCTTGGGGATTAGGATTTTAACATATAAATGAGGGTTGGGGGGACACAAACATCCGGTCCACAGCAGCCACCTCCTGCAGCTCCCAGAGCTTCAGCCTGCTGCACACAGAGGACCTGCTGCACAGGACGCAACAGGATTAAGGGATACAAGGTTTGCCGAGCCCCTGGCTCACTGATGGAGCACTGCAGGCTTTCACTCAACTGCAGCTCTAATTATTAAGTGACCTTATTACTGGTAGGAGGGACGTAGTGCCATTTTCCCTCGGACCAACCAAGGGGATTCCTGGAGTGTGGACCTTCAGTGCTAAAACCATGGCAGTCTCTGGAAAACCGGGACACAGTGGTCACCCTACAGATTTCCTGGAGGCAGCCCACCCAGCTGACCCCCTGCTTTTTACCCTCTGGATCCAAAACAAGGGGAGAACCACATCTGCTGGGCTTCTGTTGCAGAGCAGGCTCTGTGGTCAGTGCTGGCGACGACAGGCACACCCTGCCCCTCTAAGGCGCCCATGTCCTCACCCTGCAGATGTGATCGTCCGATGTAGGAGACGAGGAGGTGGCAGTTCAGAGAGGTTCATGAACCCAGTTAATTCACACGGCCACCTGCAGACTACTGTGTGAAAAGCCAATCTGAACAGGATACACACCGTATGATTCTGATTATATGACATTCTGGAAAAGGCAAAAAAAACTGTGGAGACAGTCACATGATCAGTGGTTGCCAGGGGTCGGGGGAGGTTGGGATGAAGTGGCAGAGCACAGGGGACTTTAGGGCAGTGGAACTGCTCTGTGTGAGACTACAGTGGCGGATACGTGTCATTTTACACGTGCTAAAACCCAGAGAACATTCAACACCAAGAGTGAGCCCTACGATAAACTGTGGATTTAGTTACTAACAATGTGTCAGTATTGACTAGTCAGTGACAACAACTGTGCCACACCCAGGTGACACGTTAACAGTAGGGGACTGGGGAGGGGGGATCAACATGGGAACTCTGTACTTTCTACTCAATTTTCTGTAAACCACAAACGGTCCTTAAAAAAAACCCCAAAGTCTTCAAAACAGGGGGAGAGGGGAGGTCCTCCTCGAGAGAAATATTAACCAGAAGAAAAACCGATTTAGAAAATTCCCACTTGGCAACCACCAAGTGAGACCTGATTGAGTTATTCTGCTTGAAATTTTCAAATTGAAAATAAATAATCTCCGTTATAACCCAAAAAACCCCAAACAACCCCAGATAACTAAGTTTGACTCATTCCATGATGTTTGTTCATTACCGGGTGAGACAGGGAAGGGCTGTCAGAAAGGACGGGTCCGCCCTCCGAAGCTGCGCGTTCTGTCCACAAGCCCCCGATCTGACGGGTCCTGGCCCAGGCCCTGGTCCTGCTGGCCTTGGCCTTCGCTGGACACATGGAACTGTCATGCGAGTATTTACAGAGCGTAAACCACAACAGCGGTCTCTGTTTCTTCTCCGGGTTTGGTCTTTCTCATCAGGACACTAGCCCAGAGGCTGTGGTCATGGGAGACAGCCGCGGGGTCCCTTCTCCACGGCCAGCGCCCCCACGTCACTTGCACTCGGCTCTGGGAGAGCAGTTCCAGGTCCTGCTCTGTCTGGCCAGGCCTTAATGACCTCCGCTCCATAACTGCTCATGAGCGTGGAGGATTCTCAGCTTAATTACGACGGCAGCGGTTTGAACTCCAGGCAGGGCCGAGAGCAAAAAGCCACATGCCTCAGTTTCACAATAGTCCAGAGTCTATGTCGAGGGTTTTTACAGAAGCAAAGTCAGGGTCTGTTCTGGAATAACGGTCATGTCAAAACCTTTGAAATCCAGAGGACATCAACACTCTGGAGAAGGCAGCCGTGGGGAGCCTGGCTCACGGCGAGAGGGGCCACTTAGAGGCGCAGTGCCGGGAAGAAAGGGGCAGCCCAGAGTGGACCCCTCGCCTTTCCCTGTGCCCACCAGGGCAGGGCGAGAGGGGCAGGTCACACTCCCTGGGCCCAGTGCCCCACAGTCATCCAGAAACAGCCATGGGTATTCTCCCCAAGCTGGGAGGAGCCATGGCCAAAGGCTCAGCCCCAGGACAGAACCCAGGCCTGGCTGTCGGTCACCTATGAATGCTCCTGAGGGCTGAAGTTCAAGCTGAGGAACCCACGGGTCCACTCCCGTTTAGAGCTGAAGTGCTGAGGCCACAGCCCACTGCCCCGGACAGGAAGGGCTCCTGCCCCTCCAGAGTGGGGAGCCAGTGGGAGCACGACGCGGAGGAGAAGCCGCCCACGCCTGCACAGCGGAGAAGCAGGTCAGGACAGCTGGAAGGCCAGGGCCCTCCTGAGGTCGCGGGAGCCTTCCCGTCAGTCCCCTGCTTCCAGGGCTTCCCTTCCTCGTGCAGCATCAACACTGGGCCTGCTCTGTTGCCCCCTCCCCAGCGTGTACACCCTGTCTGTCCCCAAAGTGTGCACTCCCCATATCTCCCCTTCGTGCAGTGCTGTCTGCTGAGGTCCCAGCATCACAGCTGCCATCAGAAGCAACGCAGTCCCCTGCTCTTTTGCTGCTCCCTGGTAAACGTGAGACATGGAGGCCCACCCAGTGCTCAGACAGACAACCAGTGCTGGATCAGCACTGATGGGGGTCCCTCCCCACAAACGATGACAGTGATGTGCTTCAGTTGACAAATACATGTATTGTGTGCTCAACAATTTTGAGGAGTGACACCTGTATATGTTGAAGGCACTAACCACGCAGGAGCCAGGAGCAGGGCTAGTGTGTCCCCAGAGGAAAGGGAGAGAGGTTTCCACTCCCCTGAGTCCTAGAGGAAAGTTCCCTATCCCAGGATAACCTCCCTGGCTGGGCAGATGCCCCAAGTTGCTATGGAGACTTTCACCTGTGCCACATCAGTTCCCCACAATGACCCAACCTCTGCCTGCCACACTCAGCTGGTGTCTCACTGGCATCAGCTAACACTACACCACACAGGACAGCATCTGCTGCAAAACCATCCAGACCAAAACGTTGAGAAATCTCACATCGCAGGACCAAGCCTGTGCTCTTCTGTCCTCACACTCCAAAGGAGTCTGGCATCCAGCAGGGGGAGTAAGATATTTGCGTGTACAGAAGTGTCTAGAAGATGTCAGTACCAGAGATGGAAACGGACTCCCGGGGTGGTTAGACACATGCATCACCAGAGTGGAAGCCTGTAAGGTCTGTGCACCCAGGGCCAGCAGGTGACAGCTCCATACATGCGTGACACTCGTTCATTCACTTTTCAATGACAACACACCCAGCACCTGCTTTGAGCCAGGCCCCCGAGATGCTGGGGTACCACGGTGAGCAGAACGGGCTCAGCCTGGTGACTGAGCAGTGAGTCTGCATCTTTAAAAACCAAATAAAACCAAGTGAAATGTAAATGTTGCATTATCACGTGTAACCTGAATAACAGGGTGACTTTCCTACGTTTTAGTAAAGTTTTGTAAAGTCCCTACCTCCGGTCTCCGGGTCATGGAAATTGGGGTCCAGACCTCGATCCAGCATCTTGACGATTTTCTCTACTGAACGATGCTGAATGTGATCCATGCATTTTTTCAGATTGGTCTAGATGGAAAAATAAAGAGACAGAAAACAGCTTTACAAGAAATGCCTTCACATGCTACGGGTAAGTTCCTTCCTGGGGCAGACTCTGGCCTCTTCTACAGATGGACGAATGTTTTAAAACCCCTCACTGCTCACTGTCCCTGTGCTATGGATTTATGTTGTGTCCCCTCAAAATCCATACGTTGAATAATCCCCAATGTGCTAGTATTAAGAGGCGCAGCCTTCACGGGCTGATTAGGTCATGAGGGCGAAGCTCTCATGAATGGGATCAGTGCCCTTGAAAAAGGGGCCCTGGCGAGCTGCCTCGCCCCTCTCTGCATGCGAGGACACAGTGAGAAGGTGCCAGCTATGAACCATGCACTGAGACTTCACCAGACACTCAGTCTGCCTGCACCTTGACCTTGAACTTCCTGGTCCCAGAACCTTGAGAACCACATTCTGTCGTTTTACGACACCCCCAGTTTCCAGGCTCCCCCCAGACCTTCTGACTCGGTTCCTGGTGAGCGAGGCCCAGGGGCTGGTGCTTGTGTCCTCCACTCTCTAAGGAGGCAGCGTCGATGGAGAGGGAATAGGGCAGAGCCTGCTCATTCCGGTTAATCCACTTTTTGGTTAACTCCAGGGCCACATTAGGCAGAAACAGGGAAGCCTGGTCACCGCATGGCTCAGGGACAAGGGAGACACTCATTTCTTATGAGATCAGAACGACTGGTAAGTCAACCCTGATGGGGAGGAAGGTTCCCCAAGCTCTGCCAGCCTCATCCGCAGAAGGAGCGGCGACTTCCTGTCCGTCAAGCAGACGGCCTGGGCCATCTGATGCTGACTGCGGCACTTCAACATCCCTCCACCTGATGAGTCTGACTTTTGTCCCTGCCTAACCCTTCACCCCCCACACCACACCTCTCCCAAAACACACGGAAGAAAACAGTGGTTTTCAGCATGAGGCTCCCGGACCCTTCAACCTCCCGACACAGGCCGGTTTCCACCTGAACCTGAATGTTTTCTGTACTTTCTGGAACTAGAAGTGAAACAATGTCCCAAAACATAGGACATGCAATTGGTGTCACTTGAAACCTTCACTGCTATTTACTAATCAACAGTTTTCTAAATTCACAAACACATTTTTATCTACACATCAGACAGCAAATAACCAAAGAAAACAAAAAACAAAAAAGCCCCCATCGTGGGGGTCTAGGTGCCACGGCCTTGGCGAACTCCAGGGCTGAGGAATGTACAAGAAAAGCCTGGAGCAGCTCAAGCCAGGAAGTGGTCAGTGGGTCAAGGCCGAGGGGCACAAGCCAAGGTGCAGAGAGCTAGGGGAAGGGACTGGACCACTTGAGCACAAAAGTGAATAACGATGACAGATTGGAACCCACTGAGTACAGTAAAAATCCCGCGTCCATCTAAAACAAACAGGGAGACAAAACCAAACCAAGGGCAGCCAGCTGGCGAGCAAGCCCGTGAGCTCACGGCTGCAGGTGCGCCCACCCGGGGGCATCAGGGACATCTAAAGGGAGCTCTAGGAAGCCCCCAACTCTCTCCAGCCCGTGTTCTGCAGGGACCGCTATCGGACTCTCTGCAGGTACCCGCATGCGGGCAGGGGCGAGAGCCTCCTCGATGTCACGGACATCTATGAATCGATGAGGTGCTCCACCCACAGGCCCAGCGCCTCCGCCCTCCCACTCCACACATCCTCCTCGACCCACACAGCATCCCTGACAAAGAGCACGTGTCCACGGCGTGAACATTGTCTCTGCCCAGCTGTATGGGCTGCTGGGGCACAGGGGCCCACAATGCATTCAGCAGGGCACAGAGCCCTCCACCTAATGCAAACCCTTTCCTCCCCCACTGCCCACCTGCACGTATTACCTCCATGCAGTTTAGGTCAACAGCACTTTAATAATTCTGTACTGATGTGACCACAGTGGAAACCCATCACAGGGCTGCCCTCTGCCACACTGTGCGTCTGAATCCTGCCCTCTTCAGAGCCACTGCCTTCCAGCCTCTGGAGCGCCCATTGGGATCTGCTCCCACCCCAGCTTCACAGAGCGATCCCTGCTGCCTCCTGGACGGCGGGGGCATCTCAGCATCTCAGCAGCACGCACCGTGCGTTGTCCCATCCACCTGGACATCCCAGCCCCGCCACACACCACGCCAGGTACACAGCAGGAGCCCCCAGGAAGGGGAACCCTCTAAAGAGAGTAAGACAAGGTAAAAGAAAAGCCAAGAGTGTAAAGATCGCCCGTGCCCTGCATACCTTTGTGTGGAGCTTGGCCAACTGCTTCTCGTCGAGATTGGACTGTTTATACACCCGCTTCTTGTACCGAAACTGGCAGAGACACAGAAAGAGAAAAGAGAAAACAGACAAGTAAACGCCTCATGCGGCTGTGCAGGGGGAAGGTCAGCCCGTGCCTGGCTGTTTCACTGAAAACAAGGAACTCCACAGCAAACTCTTCAAGTTCTACATAAACCCTGGTAGAAGCACCGCAGGGTCCCCTGCACCCTGAGAACCACTTGTGCCAAGATTCTGCAGCAACCTGGCTACAAAGCCGTGAACAGAAACAAGGGCCACATGAAGGAAAGAAGGACTAGGACCTCCCGGTGGCCGTGCCCGACGGTCACATTCGTTCAGGTCTCCGCTGGCTAATCAGGTGAGCACACGAGAAGCTGTCTGCCAGGGTGCTGCTTCCAACACCAGGTTTCCGGTCTCCGTCCTCCGCCTTTATTAAGACACGCATCGGAAGCCCAGGCCTGTGACGCCCCCACCTCCATGCTCTCCTGCGACCTCCCACCCGGGACTCCCAGTGGCCACTCCTCCCCTGCCTGCCCTGAACCGGAAGTTACACCTGTGCACCGAGGAGCACGCTTCCTCAGCCGTACTGACTGTGCCCCAGAAGGAGCCACATCGTCACAGTCTGCTCTGCAGTCCTCCAATGCTTCACCTAATAATCCTCCCTCCCCCGGCACCCTGATCCTTCCGCGGTTACGTGTGTTGGAGGCACTGCAGGAGGTGTGGGGTGTGCAGAGGTGTAGGGGGGACAGTCCAATTCCACCCCCATTGCTCCCCTGTTCACTAAGCAACCTTGGGATGTACATTTTCCCCATCTTGGCCTCAGTTTCCTTCTCCATCACATGGGGATAATACCACAACCTCCCAGCATGGTCTGAGGGCTGAATGTGAGCTTCTGGGCACAGAACAGCATCAGACAAATGCCACTTTAGCCCCCCTCCCCTACCACCCCTGATATTGTCACAGTCCAAGGAATTTACACCGAAGCTCTAGTGAGCAAAAACACCCCTGGATGAAGCCCACACGCACGGCAGGGAGCAGTGGCCCACCCTGAAACCAAAGGTTCAGCCCCGGATAAAGTTTCCAAAGAGATGACCGCATCCTCCTTCCCCTGCACCCCACACAAAGGCGGCAATTCAACAACAGACAAAACTGTTCATTTGCACAGACCGAAACCTGTTTGTTTTTTTGTTTTTAAGTGCCAAAACAAACCAGGTGTGAAATCAGAAAGTTCCGCGCAGTGCAGGCTGCACGGGTCTTGGGTAAAGTGCGCTGGCTGCGAGCGGCACCCTCGCTCTGCCCGCACTGAACTGGTGGCAGGAGGTCCGGGCCCGTCTGGGAATTTCCATCCCTCTGATTCTAGATTCAACCAGGAGCACCACATTCTGCACGTCCCCTGTGCGGGCACCGCTACGAAACTCTCTGTCTGCATTTTCTTCCTCATCCAGGGCACCTCTGGCCCAGACTTCAGAAGCCACTGAGCATGACGCCCAGTGAAGTCACAGGTCCACGATCACACAGCTAAACTTGAAAAGTCCAAAGGAATTTCGACTCAGTGGGTCCTTTTTCCGGTTTTAAGATAGCACGCCAGGGCCAGCAACATCTCTTGGCAGGAGGGTGAATGCGGAAGGGGAGGACATTTATTCCAGAGCCATAGACATTTACGGCTCGTGGCTCAGAACCACAAATCCTTCCTTGCTATTTTCTCAACATTTCATTAGCAGCCAACCATGTTCTATTGAAATTATCTGAGGCAAAGAGCTCGGACGGATGCCTGCCCCTAATGCTCAATCGCCAGGCCCATCTTGACTCTTCGCAGCAGATCCCTGGCAGAACGGTGGCCCAGGGCAATAAACACATGTGAGCATTAGCAGAGACTTCACAACGAGCAGATCGACCGATGCAGCTGTGGTGCCAATTGGGGCACTCCCGGCCAGCCAGGCTTGGCTATGCGACTGCTCCCTGGAAGACCTCCTCTGAGCTCAGAGGGGCTGGGGACTTGCTCAGAGGTGCACAGCTGTGGCTACTGAGGCCAGATCAAGAGCAGGAGCCCAGACTTCTGGTCTTCTCGCCCAGTTTTAATGCCATTATAGAAATTATCAGCCCCTGAAATAAACTGTGTTTACTTACTGTTGCCGGTCCGTCACCTCCGCTGGAGTGTAAGCTCATGTGACCAGACCTTGACTGTCTGTGCGAGGTGCACGTGCCTGGAAAGTGCCTGGTACTTAGGCCCACAATGAGGGATTTTTTCCCCCAGGGGATTTCCACTTCACAGATAAGCAAACTGAGGTCAGAACAGCTGAGTGACTTTCCTAGAACCACACAACGACCAAGTGGCATCTCATCTTTCCCTCCACTGAAACTCTTCCCCCAACCCCACACATTCCATAGAAATCGAGATCCCAGTAATCTCGGCCTCAAACTTGCAATGAAACCTAGCGATGTGCATGTGAGCATCACTTTAGTTCTAGATTCATGTCCATGACACCTCAGACTGCAGCGTAATCTCTATTCACCAAGAATACCGCAGAACCAGCTCAGACTGCTCCAGTGCCTGCTGCAATCCCACACTCAGTCTCTCGTCACGTGACCAAACTGTCACATGAATGCGATCCCTTGGTAACAGCAGCATGCTGTGTGTAGCAGAAATGACTGCACTTCTGGCTCCCTGTGTAGCTGACTTCACGTACCATGTACACATTCTTGGAACACCATATGCAAACTTCGGGTGCAGCAAGCGGGGTCAGAAAGGTAGGGACGGGGTCATGCTTTACAAGAACATGCATAAGGCAGCCTCATCTCACGGATCAGCCACTCCACGAGGGAGGCCCAGGAGCACGCGGCTGGCCACAGCAGCTCAGAGAGCCCACTGGTCATGCTGGGCTGGGAAGCAGTAAGGACACTGTGGCCGCTGACCACCCTGCTGCCCCACGGGGGGAGACCCATTCACAGAGTATGATGTAATAAAAAGTATTTGGTCTTTGTCCCAATTCCTAGCACAGAGCTCTTAAAACCCTTGGAATCTCCCGAGCGACAAGCGTTATCTGTGGTGTGTTAATGAGCGGGCTCCTGACTGCTGGAGAGCTTCAGGCCGTGGCCACAAAGACCAAGCCATGATTAGTGGACTGGAACCTTCTGCCTCACTAACTCCAGGGAAGGGAGAGAGGCTGGAGATGGAAAGATGGAATTCAACCTCCAATGGCAATGATTTAATCAATCGTGCATACGTAACACAACTCATAAGAATCCCTGGAGAGCTTCTGAGCTGCAAACACATCCTCATGCCAGGAGGGTGGCGGACCCCCAAGTCCACTGGGACAGAAGCTTCTGCACTCGGGACCCGTCCAGACCTCACACCCTGTGCGCCCCTTCATCTACTGTTCACCTGGACCCTTCCCAGCAGAGCCATGAGAGTCAAGTGCGTTCCTGAGCTCTGTGAGCTGTTCTAGCAAAGCAGCGTCAAGCGGGAAAAAAATCAAACCTTCGGGAAGGCAGAAGGAAGCCCCACTCTGCATGCCCAGGCCTCATAAGTCCTGGTGACACGAGCCTGAATCAGGCTGCGGTACATTCATACCGAGATTTCTCCCCAACAAACTCGTTACATCCATGGTAAGGAAACGTGTAAAACTTACACGACATCCGCCAATTCATGGCAAAACTGGGTGCAACCTCAAGACTCCAAAGGAATTTTTTCGTTTGGGCCTCACTTCCCAACTGAAATCAAATCGGGGGCTTGGCTAAGGTCTCCCCTCCCCACGACCCCCAGGCCCCTGGGCGGTGGCCAGCAGCGCGGATTAGCATACCTCCAGGGAAGGGACGCCGCTGCCCTCGGGCTGCGGGTACTCGCGCAGCAGACGCTCCTCGTCCAGGAACTTCCCGTCGCGCCCGTTGCTTGCCGGCTGGAAGAGCCCGTAGTTCAGGACGTCTTTCAGGCTCTGGTTTAAGGTGCACAGAATCCGCTGCTTTGCCACCCACACGGTGGCATTCGGGTTAAATCGAATGCACTTCTGCAGGGAAGGACAAAGACGTCCGATTAGTGACGCAGAACACCCCAAGTCACCCACACGGGGGCATGGTCAGGTGGGAAAGCTGTTTCCATCCCTTCCTTACAGTTTTTCTGAGGGTTGGACCCCTCGGCTTCTCAGCCTGAAAAGTAAGCCTGCCTGTCGCGAGGACGGAGGCGTTTGGTGAATACAGAGGGGAAAAGTGGAGACTGAGAACTTGGTCTCTGTGGCTGTGACTCTCACCGTGGACTCAGATCTCCAGCACCAGTCACTAACCACCCATTGCCACGGGGCAGTTCTCTCACTTGTGAAAACACAGACTCGACCCCTCACCCCACCCAACGGAGTGGCTGATTCAGCAGGTCTGGGGTGGGGGGGCTGAGAACCTGTTTCCACAGGTGTCAAGGTGACGTGATGCTGCCGGTCTGGGGAGCACACGCGGAGAACCGCAGCTCCAGGGAGTCACAGCGCGGCCATCGCTGCAGCAATCGCTAGATCAACTGCTCTCCGGCGTTTCAGATACGGGGGGCTGCCTTGTTCTACCACCTCGGCACAAGGGTCTCCATGCTACCCACGTGGACTCTGAACAGAAAAGCTTTAAAAGCACAGATGTCACCCCTCGCAAAGGAGAAAGGATGGCAATTATGAAAAACGGATTGATGGAAAATTAAGTCAGTGGCCGCCAGAGCTAATTGTTGAAAAAGTTAAATGGCGTCGACAGGGCATGCAAACCAATCACCAACACTTCAAAAACAGAATAGCGCCCCGAGAATGAGAACAACAGCACCTCGGTCGTGTTTTGTGAGACTCACCAGTGAGCCAGGAAAAGCAAAAGCCAAACCACATCCACTTCTAACCACTACTCCTAATTTTTGTTCAATTAAAATTACGTTCTACTGTATAGCCATCACCTGGGGCTTAAAATCTGTTTTATGGCTGTAAAAGCGTTCAGAAAAAACTGAGGTTCCACTGAATCTGGGGCTGGAACAAATTTTCTCTCTGGGGATTCCGCGTGAGCGCACCCAGACAGCCCTGCTATCTTCCCAGGCCAGCCTGGGGTGACTTCCTCACTGCTGGGTGACACGATCCTGCACTGATCCTGCACTGGCTCAGCGGGCAGCCAGAAGCCCCCCGCCCAGGAAACCCGACCCCTGCACACGAACGCTCCCGAGTGTTCCTCCCCGCTGTCAGAGGCTGGGTTTGAGTGTGACTCTCCCTGCTCCTCACAAGGCTGGGTGAGGCCAGCTCATTCCAGTGATGAGACATCCAGACACAGGGTCCCCCTCCGCTCCTCCTTTGGTTGAGTGAGAACTCTCTGGAAACTCCAGGCACAGCCAAGGAGCCCCGTCAGACATGACCAGGTGGGGCCGCTGATAACTCACCCCCTCGTTTCAGGAATCATTGCTGGCTTCTGGTTCCAGCTACAGTGACACCCAACTCAAGTTCCCCTAGATATCAACATCCACCCACCTCGGCTCCTCCCACACCCGCAGAATAGGTCCTGCCAACAGGCGAGCGGTGGGAGAAACACAGGATCTGAATCGCCTCCCAAGGGACACGGTGCCAGTGCAGGTGACCACAAAGACCGGTGTCTGCTGTCATTTAGCAGGCAGGGCCAGGGACGCTGAGTCCACGCTGTATCCAGGCCAACCCTGCACAAGTAAGAACCATCCTGCTCCAAAAAATGCCAAGGGCACCTCACTGAGAAACTTTGGGAAGGAGGTGGCGTTCGGAGGTCAGAACGGCTTGGACGTGCAACCACCTGCGCAGGCCAGCCTGTGTTCCTGACAAACCTACCGATCCAGCTGTCCCTCTGTTTCCTCAGTGACAATCAGGGCCACGACTTACGTGCAGGGCTGCTGTAAGACTCAGACAGAATATAAATAATACATGCTGTTATGGGCTGGACTGTGTCCCCTAAGAAGATGCTGAGGTCCTAATCCCCTTCCCCTGTGAATGCGACTGATTTGAAGTAGGGTCTTTGCAGATGTAATCAAGATAAGATGAGGACACTCTGGAGTGGAGCGGGCCCTGATGCAGTGACTGTGTCCTTATATAAGGGGATAAGTTGGACACAGCAGCATGCACACAGAGAAGGCACGTGAGGATGAAGTCAGGGACTGGGGCAATGTGTCTACATAGTGAGGAATGCTGAAGGTGACCAGCGAGCCACCCGCAGCTGGGGAGAGGCCTGGAACAGATTCTCCCCGACAGTCCCCAGAGGAACCAACCGCACTGACATTCTGATCTTGGACCTCCGGCCTACAGGACAATAACGTCTGCTGTTTAAGCTGCCCGGGCTGTGGTCTGTTACGGCAGCCTCAGGGACTAACAAACATATAAGGCACCTGCCACTAACTGTGGTAGCAAAAAGCAGCAGCAGCACCACCCTCTCTCTGAGAGCAGAACTCAGCAGGCCGGGCACCCGCAGCCCCGGGAGCTCCCTTCCTTTCATGCGTGACGGGGGTCGCCACTATGCTCACAGCCGCCCAAGGAAAGCCACCACGTCAGGAGACACTGGGGTGAATCCGGCCTCATTTCCTGACTTACCGTCACTGGCTTGCAACTTTACTCACTAAACACTCTTGATCAGGAAAAGCCTAGTTCTCAAAAATATGGAAAATGGTAAACAGCACTTCTAAAAATGAGGAGCCTGGAAGAAGAGCTTGTCCACAGCGGCACTCCACCAGCCGACGCCAAGAAATCCCGTAACAAGTGCAGAAACAGCTGAGTTTCAGGGAAGCCTTAGGAAAAATCGCAAGTTTATCTTTAAGAAGGCACATGGATCAC